CGAATTTATATCGTTTTTTGCGAATAAGAAAAATTTCTAAAAAAAGTAGATATATAAGTTACTCCTTCACTTTCGCAAGCTCCCAAATACTCGTTGAAGAGTTATAATTTTTGATATTTTAATTTCTTAAATCCAACTCTTAATAAAATTCTCTCTAAATGCAAAGTCTCTTTGGTCCAAAATATATAGAGTAATATCATCCTCTAAACGCAACCTCTTTCTAAATGCAAGTTTTTATTATTATTATATTTTTTTTAATATTGAATTTTAATATTAAATTTTTCTATGCCCCGGTAAATTGGCTTAGAGAGAGTCTACTATATAATAAAAATCATCTATTCAATTCTATTATTTAATTTAATAATAATATCCTAATCAAAAAATTTTCGCTCACATAGGGTGCATATGCATTTTTTTGCATTGTAAATACGTTTGGTTATTAATATAAGAATATTTATGGATTTAGTGAAGTTTATAGATCATAAAAAGACAAATATTTAGCATCTTTCTCAGCAATAAATAAAAAGTAGGGAGATAAAATCAGGCCGAATCAATAACACATAATTCTCAATGACATGGGGAATATTACTGAGGTAGCCCTCTATTTAATTTTTTTATTTTATTATTATCATTAGATTTTTTTTAAAATTTTTTTTTGGCTCCATAACACCAGTACTAGAATGATAATACTGTGTTATGTAAGTAATACTAAATTAAATATACAAAACCTTAATAGTCAACTAAAATGCTTAAGAAAATAAATTATTCGAATTGAATACTATTTAACTTATTTGAATATTTTATTAATTAAAATTAACTTGCTTCATACATATTTAATTATTATCTTTAGTCATGTAATAATCTATTTGAATTATCTTTAGGGAAATTGTATAAACAAAAGTATTGTCATGACTAAAAAGAAACATTTTTCAATCTTAAATATTATCGTCGTTGAGTATGTTATCACGCATCGGGGCTACATTCACTCCGTTAGCGTTAGCTTGAGGTGATTCTTCAGCAAAATAATAGGCACTTTCACCCATTTCAAGCATGTCTGTATCTCCATCTAACCGCAAACAGAGTCCTGGAATTATATTTATGAGATGGAGAATGACAAAAGTAACCACAAAAGAGTATATCATGCTAACGCAACTTCCTGATAATTGTATTAAAATTTGAAAAGGGTTTCCATTAATAGCACCACC